CCCCCAAGCCCAGTCTTAGCCCAATTACCCCTCCCTCTCTTCACTGAGCCCCACAGACCCACACGACCCTGCATCTGGAGGTCATCTTACCTGATCGCCTTTGAGACCCACATCACCCTTGAAGCCTGGAAAGCCATCCTCTCCCTGATTGGGAGAGACAGAGATCAGAAGTTAGGGCCTCAGGGAAGGAACACAACCAGAGTACCATTATTGGAGCTCCCTGTCACCGGTGAATCCCCTCACCTTCTCGCCTTTCTCCCCTTGGAGGCCCCGGTTGCCTGAGGTGCCCTAGAAAATGTTTAAAAAAAAGAAAAAGCCCTTAGGCCCCTTCCCTGCCTAGGAAGGACCCCAAACTTGGTCCCCTGCCCAACGAAAGCCAGGAGAGTTGCAAAAGGATACTGGGCCAGAGCAGGGGCAGCCTCAGAGGAAATGAACTTTCCCCAAAACCTCCTCCCTTCCCACTGGCAGCCAACCTAGGTCATCTGTGTGGGGGTGTGCAGGGAAGGCCAAATTTCCAAGTCATCCATTCTCATCTCCCAGAGAGACACTGTGTCCACAGTTCCTTCTGGCAGGAGAAGGAGGATGAACATTCCAGGCCTGGGTCTCATTCTAAAGGCAGAGGAATGTTCCCCATTGTGCTGGCTACAAGGGGACTCTGTGCTTGGCAACAAGGAGACCTCTGTGAGTAGGCTAAAGGGAGGCTGCTCCATGCAAGCCTGGATGCCGCTCACACCAAACTCTAGGAGCTGCACTTGGCTACAGTGTAACTGAGCTCAGCAGATGCGACAAAGCTGTACTTGGATTCAATAGAACTATGTGTTTGGGCAATAGCATAGCTCTCTCCAGCCACAGAGAACCCTCACTAAATGAACAGTATAATTGAACTTGGCTACAATGTAACTAACCTCAACTACAGTATAGGCTTCAACTATGTAACAATGCCTGGCTACTGTGTAACTCTGAAGCTGCCTCTTTGATGATGGTTTGAGCTTGTCTGCAATGCAAAAATGCCAGGAGTTGGCTCTTGGCTACCACCAAATTCTGTGCTAAGATTGCAGGTAAAGGCTCGGCGCCTGTGGCTCAAGTGGCTAAGGCGCCAGCCACATACACCTAAGGTGGCAGGTTTGAATCCAGCCCGGGCTTCCAAACAACAATGATGGCTGCAACCGAAAAAAAATAGCCAGGTGTTGTGGCTGGCTTGAGCCCAGGAGTTAGAGGTTGCTGTGAGCTATGCCACAGCACTCTACCCAGGGGGACACCTTGAGGCTCTGTCTCAAAAAAAAAAAAGAAAACAGGCTCAAGGGACGTGCCCAAGGTCAAGTAAAAGATGAATATTTGAGCCTAAGTCTCAATGCCAAGGCCCACATTTTACAATTTCCAGTGACCTGTGAGGAAGACAGCTCATCCTCCAGATCACAGCTTAGACCCTCAGATGTTAGTCTCTGAACACTGTCCCTACCCACACCCAATCCTGTAGCTTCTTACCTTAGGTCCTGGACGTCCTGGGTAACCTGGGAGACCTGGCACTCCAAGCTTGCCCTGCAGAGAGATTATGGGACAAAAGTCGGAAATCGCAAACTGGAGGTGAGAGGGGAAAGATTAGCCTGGTTGAAGCACGGTGAAAGAGGCAAAATGGTGTGAGTCAGGGAAACGAGGTGCAAGTCCTGGTTCCTGCCTGTGTTTGAGCAGGTCATTCAACCTCAGTTTTCTCATTTACAAAGTGGGGGTTAAAATGCCTATTGCGTGCAGTGGTTGTGGGGATAAAAATATAAGGCATGTGTATGGAATGGCTCTGTGATGATCAGCTGTGGGGTTCCAGGAGATGAGAAGAGTGATGGCACTCTCCTAAGACTGGAGATAAAGGGTCAACGGACAGAGGCAAAGGGCCAGGTCATTCACCTTCTCCCCAGCTAAGCCTGAGGGACCCTCTTCACCGGCCAGCCCCTCCTGTCCTTTTAGCCCCTCAGGGCCATCCTCTCCTCGGGGACCTGAGGGTCCAGG